TGTGTGTGTGTGTGTGTGTGTGTGTGTGTGTGTGTGTGTGTGTGTGTGCCTAGTATCCATATAGACCAGAAGAAGCCCTGGGTCTTCTGTAACTAGTTATGAATCACCATGTGGATGCTGGGAACTGAACGCAGGCCCTCTGCAAGAGTAACACATGAGTAAACACTGAGCCATCCCTCCAGTTCCAGCTTCCCACTTCTCAAAGCACTTTCATTCATTGTGATTTTGGTCTCCCAGACTTATAAGAGGTTAGAATATGGTACTGGAGAGATAGCTCATTGGTTAAGAACACCGACTGCATGCCAACAGGTGTCTCCCACCTTTAATCCCAGCACTTGGGAGGCAGAGGCAGGTGACCAGCCTGGTCTACCGAGCAAGTTCCAGGACAACCAGCGATACACAGAGAAACCCTGTCTCAAAAACAACAACAACAAAAAAGCAAAAACAACAACAAAATCAAAAAACAAACAAACAAAAAAACCCACCACTGGCTGCTCTTGCAGAAGACCCAAGTTAGTTCCCAACCATCTAACTCCACTTCCAGGGGATCCAGTACCCCTCTTCTGGCCTACATGTACACTGCATGTACACCCATGTCATGTATAGGCATATATGGATACAAAACACTCATACACATAAAAATCTTCCTTAAAAGGTGACTCAGCAAAGCCATGTATATGTGTGTGCTATATAAACAGACTTATTTATCGATTGGTTTGAAAAGTATTGACTCTGGAGAGAATGGGTATTGATTACACTGTTTCAAATTTTGTATGCATTTAGGTCGTTTTATAATAAAAAGGTGAAGGTAAATTTAAAAATTCAAAGCCAGAAGTGATGGGGGGGGGTGATCACAGTAGGATGAAGACTTTAAGATGGTAAGCTTAAGCCAAGTACATGGTGGTGCATGCCTGCATCCCCAGTACTCACTGGGGAGGGTCAGAACAGAAATTGTAGTTTGGCTGGACCTGTCTCAAGAAATAAAACAAAACCAGAATAAGCAGAGTATTTCACAATCGGCTATGTCAAAAGGAATTACAAAACCGAAGAGCGGAGCTGTGGCTCAGTGGATAGCACTTGCTGAGAAAGCCCCGAGTTCAGATCTCAGCTCCCACGTGAAAAAGTCAGACATGCTGTGACCCCAGTGCCATAGGAGGTAAAGACAGGAGAATCACTGGGGCGTGCTGGCCCCAGCCTAGTTATGGTCTCTGAGAGACCCTGTCTTGAGGAAATAAGGTGGGGAGATAGTGATGCTCCTGACCACCCCCCATCCACAGGTGCACGCACCACATGCACAGGAGTGCATATACAATACGCACACAATTACAAAACCAAAAAAAGAATAGGTGGACTAAATAGCTCAAAAGCTTATCAGACTGAATATTTTCAAACTTGTGGCTGTGTGGCCCACATGGCTGAAGTTAAGATGAAAGAATACATGAGAGCCCTACCCTTGGCAAACGAGATGTCTTTGGTACCATAGATGGTGAATTTTTCAAACAGGTTTTTGAAATTCTGAGATGGGTGTGAACCATAGATTTTTTTTTTTTTAATAGTTGGCAGCTGTTGAAGGACTCCACAGTTGGAAGGTAGCTTGACAGTTGGAGAGGTCTGGTTTCTATGGTGGTCTGTAGTGTGACTCGACTCAGAAAAAGATCCCTGTGACTTCATCACTAGTGGTTCCTTACCAGAGCCACCCAGGCAACAAGAAACAGACCACTGTCTTATGGTTTGAGAGCTGTGCTGTGATGGGTAGCATTTTACTTCCTGTTTATGCTATGATAAAATACCATGGTGAAGAAACTTATGGAAGGAAGCGTTTGAGGGCTTATGGTTCCAGAAGGATTGTTCATCATGGTGGGAGATCACATCTCAGCAGACATAAGAAGCAGAAAGGGCAAACAGATGAGGCTTAAAGCCCCCCCCCCCCACAGTGACATACTTCTTCCCAAAGGCTTCATAACCTTTCCAAATAGCACCACCAACTGGGGACCATTGCCTTTGGAACCATTCAAACCCCTATGGGTGACCTTCTAGCTTTGATTGAAGGAGCTGCTGTCCTGCTGTCACGTCAACAAGATTTGTCTACACAGTTCCCCGATGGTCCTCAGTTTGCTGAAGAGCCTTTCAGTGGCCTCCATGCCTGACAGTTATCACCCTCACCTTTAGGTACCCATGGGATTAAGGACGCCTAGGATTGTTCTAATTGGATGAGCTATAGTTCAATAATGATTTCAGAAGACCAGGTTCCAGTGTGTGAGACAGCCATGGCCAAATCCATGACATTTTTTTCTACCTGTGGAACTATGGAAGGAAGATAAAAAGATACTAGCTGTTAATCACATTTGGGCTGCTTTTGTGACCAAAATAAATGTCTAACTTAAAGAATGTATAAGAAGTACTTAGATGAAAGACCAAAAGGCAAATAATGAAACATGACCATATTTTCTAGTGACTTCTCTGACTGGTTTTATGTGTATAGTTATTTAGACTCCTGGAGCTTTTTCCTTAAAAAAAAAAAAAATTACAGCTGTGAGACACACTTAAAACCAAAAGGTTGACGAAACATCACAGGTATGATCTGACTTTTTGTTTGGTTTGGTTTTCATGGAGTACATTCAAAGATGTTGGATTGGTTCCCTGTTCTATTACTTGGCCTTCTTTCCTTGAGACAGGGTCTCATTGAACTTGAAGCTAGGCTGGTGGCAGACAAGACCTTGCGATCCTCCTGTCTCCAGTCTCGCTGCTCCTGAGAGCTGGAGTTACAAGCACACACGTACCATACCCAGCTTTCACATGGATTCTGGGGATTTGAACTCAGGTCCTCATACTTGCACAGCAAGCCCTCTCACCCCTGCACCATCTCTCCAGACCTCTTTGTTTTAGAAACAGAGACTAAGTTATGTAGGGCAGCCTTGAACTTGGAGTTCTGCCTCAGCCTCTAGCAGCTGGGCCTACTGACCTGCACTACAAGGGCCAGCTTGTTTTCTGAGTCATTGCTTCTGTTTGATGGTATTTTATTTAGGGTTTTTGCATCTATATTCATTCATAAAATTAATTTACAATTTTCTTTTTGTGCTATCAGGTTCAGTTATCAATGTTACTATTACTTTAGAGACTTTCCTTTTTAATGTTCTGAAAATTTTTAATAACATTGGGGCTTATGGGAGGCTGTAGAGTCTCTGACAAAGCATATGGATTTAATGCTGTTCTGGGAAATCCTTTCATAACTTTATTGTGCTGAAACCGGTGTGCTTAAGCTTCTGCCTCTAAAGGATCGTTTTCACAAATTTCATGTAATTACTCATGTAGGCATTCATATTTGTTTGCATAATTCTTTATAAAGTTATCTGTTTACGTTTGCTTCTGTTAAATTTCCCCTCGTTATGTCCTGCTCCTTACCTTCCCCTTGTTCTTCCCCCCTCCTTACCTTCCCCTCGTTCCCCCCTCCTTACTTTCCCCTTGTTCTAACTCCCTCCTTCCCTTCCCTTCATTCCCTCCTCCTTACCTTCCCCTTGTTCTTCCCCCCTCCTTACCTTCCCTCCTTTCTTTCCTTCCTGGTTCTTTTTTCTGCTCTACTTTCTTCTTTTCCTTCTTTGTATAATATTTGTTAATTACTCTATTTTCTTATCTAGAACTTTATTTGATACATTTTTTTTCTTCAAGTGCTAGCATTTTAATTTGTCAGTGCTAAGTGTGGTAGTAACAAACACGGGTGTGGATCATGTCCATTACTGGATTCTCCCTTTGCAGGCCAGAGTCAAGGGTGGGGGTGCTGCTGGTGGACTCAGCTCCTAGTGCTGATGGTGATAATGGGACTTCAGCATCACGGAGCCTGGATGGCAGCCCCTTGCTGTCAGCGTCTGTAGTACTTCCTGTGTCTTAACTATGCTGTAACATAAGAGTATTTGTTTTTCTTGCTGCTTAGTTCAACCTAAATGACTTTTGTAGGATGCACAATCAGGTCCGGACTCTGGCAGCTGCTGTGATCTCTGGGGGCTGCCAGTGTTATCTGTAATAGTAAAACGCTAAAGGTCCATATTAAAGATCCTGCAGCAACTGTCCTTCTGCCACTCTGTGTGTGGACCTGCTGACAATGGTCAGTGTTTATACTTTGCCTGAGCTCTTCTTTTTGCTGCTTGACAAGAATTTTCTTCTTTTTTAAAAATGTTTATGGGTGTTTTGCCTGCATGTATGTAAATGTACCATATGAGTGCCTGATGCCCAAAGAGGTCAAAAGAGAGTGTAGGTCCCCTGTAAGTGGAGATAGGCTTGTCTGTGAGCCATCATACAGGTGATGGGAAATGAAGCTGGGTCCTCTGCAAGAGCAACAAGTGCTCGTAAACACTGAGCCATCTCTCCAGCCCTGACAAGAGTTTTCTACTCACATCAGTGGAAGTGCTGGGGAATTGTGCTCCATACTGCAGGGCAGCTCCATCCTAGAGTAACAAGGCTTGTGTGTGTGTGAATCCTCCAGCTTCCTCCTGTCTTGGGTGAGACAGCTCGGAGGTGTGAGGCTCACACTCACTCATCAGGAACATTAGAATCCAGCCTCGTACCTGCCTGATGTGTTGGCTGCTGCTCCAGTACTGGGATCAACAGAGCCTGGCTCTGCTTTCAAATCTCTGTCTCAGGGTCTGCCTCTGAGGAAGTCCAACTGAGTCAGAATGCCTTCGACAATGAGAAATGGACAGGAATGTCT